ACTTTCCCATATGCCTTTTCTCTTTATTGATTTTGCTTTGTATCTTTTTGCTGTAATAAATTTTAGCTATGAATAGGATTATATGCTGAGTCCTGTCAGTCTTCCCAGTGAATCAACCAATCCAATGGTGGTCTTGGGAACCCATAACATAGTCCAGTGTAAGTTCAAAGTGCAGAAACTATGCCTTATATCTACTTGTATTTCTTAGACTGTATAATATACTCATATATAATAGCTATTCATCATATGCAGTGGTTATTTTCCTTTTAATATATCCAAACTAGTCTCAAGATGTGTTGCATATCCACTTCAGCATTAGTTAATACCGTTGAACTGGTTAACGACAAAAATACGTGTAATACGAGTGGTACACCTCAAACAACAAATAAAAAGGCAGGTTTTTGGCAGCTTCAAGTAACACAGTTGGACAGAAGATTGATTACTTTGACCATGTATATAGTCTGCAGCTCTGCAACCTATTTCAATGCTATTTTGATAATTATCTGCCTGTAAACTTTCTAAAGAACATTCTAAGCATGCTTAACTTGATTCTTTTTTGTTGATTCACTTATCTTTGGAATTTCACAAAATAGAACATACTTCAGTTCTGTGTGATTGACAGAACAGGGTATTTTATCAAGCTTCTTTGTTATTTACCTACAGCTCTGTGATGTTTCAAACAAACAAATAACCCATGCTTCCTTGTACTTCATATAATTCTTTCAGAGCTATATCTCACTTACTGGGACAACAGATCATAAAGACTGCAACATAAGTAGAAAACGAACATTAAAATAAGGGAAAAGAAGGCCCAAGGGATGAAAGGAGTCTGTAAAAGAATACAGCTAGGTTAAAGAAAGTTCCAACCCATCCCTGATGGCGAAATACTTTTTTGTCTTTACCTGTGACAGCAAAAGGAAAAAAGAGAAAAGGCTCTTATTATTTCTAAAGCAAACGTCATTATCCAATATAGAGACTTTATAGCAAATGTCGACTATGCACTTCAAAAAAGCAAAGAAATATAATGAGGAATTTTTATAAAACACTACATAATTCAGTGACTCTTCCTCTTACAGAGAAAAATGTATAATACTAGTATGCATACTTTACCTATATACGGCAAACAATATTTTTTAAACATTACTAACATAGAAAACATAAATCATTAAATTAGTGAAGTCAAACAGCTAGAAAAAGACACAAAGTTGAAATCCAGAGTTTGTCAAACCATCTCCCTAAGACACAAGGTGCTAACTCCTAGATCCAAGAAAAAGTAATGATTTCATCATTACATTTGGTGGGATATTACTGTTTTGGCTTTTGGAAGGTAAGGAAAGTGGGAGGAAGTAAGAAAGCGATTTGGCCATTCTAGAGTTTTCCTTCACTTCCATTCCCAATGTACTCAGTGTTCACTGTGTTAATGTCTACCAGTATACTTCAGTCATTTATTTTAGCGGCTTTATTCACTGCCAATAATATCACTAGCAAGGAAAAAATACTATAAAATTAAATTTTATATTTAAATCAGTAACTTTTCTTTTGATACCAACAGAGTTTATAATCTTGTCAAAGTTTCCCCAATAGCAAGATCAGGATTCTCCTTTCTAATCTCTAAGTCAAGCCACCTTTTCAAATCAAATCAAAGTTCAAAAAGGAAAGGTGCTAAGCACTATTCTCTTCAAAAAGAAACATAGGCCGGGCACAGTAGTCCATGCCTGCAATCCCAGCACTTTGGGAGGCCAAGGCGGGAGACTTGTTTGAGCCCAGGAGTTGGAGACCAGCCTGCACAACATAGTGAGACTCCATTTCAAAGAAAAAGGGGGAAAAAAAGAAACCAAATACTTTCGTGTTTCTTACTTTACATTATTAAAAATACATTTTATAAAGACCAAGATTCAAGAGTCGACACCATTTGAATAATATGAAAACTAATTGTCACCCAAAAGCTAAAATTTTTTTGTATTACGTTATAGTTTTCATTATATTGAAACGGCATATTACTGGAACTTACACAAATTCATTGTAGAATTAGAATCATGTAATTCCAGATTAAAATTAAATTTTAGAATTACAAGGGTATATAATGATGAAACATTCTAAATGTTATCTACTGCTTGACAAATTTTAACTGTATTTAAACATTAGGTGAAATATGCAACTCAGACTAATTCAGTGTACAGTAAGTAAAAACCAATGGTGTATAGATAAAGAGAGTATAATGTAAGCTGGTTAAAAAATTATAATGAAAAGACAACTAGTAAGAATATAGCAACCTGGCTGAAATTGATATTCATTAGGGTCCTCCTCACATCAATAGGTAACATTTGGACTCTGTGGTCTTTATCAGTGTCCCAGCTGGTAATGGTTGAAAGTTAATGCCTTACCCAATTCTGTTCAATTTTCTATCCTAATTAGCCCTCCAGATCTATAGCTGTGAGCACCAAGTGTCTGTGCTCAAAAGAAACTAATTAATGCTAGCAAATTAGATCAAGTCCAAAGATCCAACAGCCAAACTCTTAGTTAAATGCTCCTTGTTAATAGGAAGTGTAGCTGTCAATAACTGCTGTTGGTGACTATAATGAGGCATCTTTCTTTCATTGAAAGTGATTTCATTTCTCTTTGTCCATGGAAAAGCTGTTCCATTCCCTTCACAAACCTAAGTTGCTGACAGTCTGACCCAATTCTTATGATCAGCTGGGTTGAAATGACGTTTAAAAAAAAAATCTAATGGAAAAGCTTTCCTACATAATCATGTTTTAGGCATTTAGCAGAAAGTCAGACCACTTATTAAAATTCCTGTATCTTTTATCTAAGAACCATACAATTGGCATACATAATGCTTTTATACAAAATCCTATAATTATTTAATAAAGCAAAAGCTATAAACAGTAAATAAACTACAATGGAAATGTCCCGATTCTAAATTATGTCTTACTGTTCAGTTTAAATGAAGTTTTCTTTTGATGCTTGAATAATTCTAATGTATATCATTTCCTAATTTATATGGTTAGAAAATAGACTTCTTATTCTCTTATCAATTTTAGATTCTAAAACATTGTTTTGAATCACATGGCCTAAAAAATCAATATATAATTATAAGAAATTCAAATTATGTTATTATATTCTAATATAGATGAATACATTTAAATAATCCAAATGAATCACAGATTTTAAGATGCTTTCAGTCTTCAGAAAACTCAAGTATGTTGAAAAAGCAAAAACTTAACTACATCAACATCCTAAACAACTTCTGATGAAGTGAAAATTAAACACTTATTTTCTGTACCATTATAAAACACTAGTTTTGTAACACAAATAAATATTTTAAAGTTATACTCTATTCTTTCATTTCAAAAACCAAAAACAAAGTTTCATTGTCTAAGAAACAATGAAAGACAGTTCTGAAACCCAAAGTCATACAATCATTCTGCATTTTCCTTGGAATTATGTCAGTAAAATTTAAATCTGTAATTGAGTTAGCTCGCTTTCTTTCATTCCAGGTATAAAGATAATATGCTACATGACAGCATAAATACAACTTATATGTATAACTTCAGACTGATATATCAGTAATAAGTAAATTTCCCTAGCAATAAAAAGCCCTACAACTTTAGTATAGAGTTTTTAAGTTTTATCTCCCCTCACCTGAATCAGGATATACATTTTTTAAGTTCTATGAGGAATGTGCACATTATACCTCTTGTGACCATAAACATGACACCTGCCAATGCCATACATGCACTACTTGCAGGTGTCAATAGGTTGACTTCTCAAGACACCTGGGGGTAGGTGTTAAAGAAAGGTACTCTGATTAAACTATTAAACTAATACAGGAAAGCAAGAGTAAAACCACAGGATGGTTATTTATATGAGTTTTAAAATGGATAGGTCATAATAAGTTACTGAAGAAACAAAAATGACCATCACACATTGTTGAGTCCAAAGAACTACTCTTATTTTATTACCTCCATTCATCAATTGCAAAGGTCCTCTCTAAGGGCAGAGGACAGAGAAGGGAACAAAAGCATTCCTAGTCTCCAAATGCCATTGACCCAGTCCTGAAATTAGAGTTGACACAGCCCTGCTCCCCTGTAGAGAAGCTTGCAGTGGAAGTGCAGCCCATCATCCTCGCTAAAAATTATTGTGTTCCCTCAACAAAGATGACCACATGGAAACTGAAGAAGTAAAGCCAGGAAAATAGCCTATGTCCATAAAATTTTGTTACTTCTTTTTGATGGCCCTTCCAAGAGGTAGAATTTTTTTAAAGCTATTTCAACAGTAATATTGCCATGTGCTTTTCTAATAACTCATCATTTACAAATGTATTATGGCCTCACTTTTCACCTTTCACTGCTTTGTTTACATGTTTCACTAGAATATTGCACATCAATCACTGATGTCTCTAGATCTACAGGAGTATTTCATGTTAAAACATTTTCCAAAGAAAACATACATGTGTAGCTGTCTAGCGTATGTATTGACATAAATATCCTCCACTTAGAAACGTAAAACAAAACAAAAACCCCAGACTCACTGTAAGTGCTATCAGGATTCTATTAACAATTCAGTAATAGACAATGACACCAAAGAAAATCACCTTAGAATATATATATATAATATATATATATACATGTGAATATGGTGACAGATGGAAAACAGGTATAGGCTAGATCTGATGTTTCTTCCTCCCCTATAAAACCATCAGAATAACTTGTTTCTCCAAATTACTCATACCAAGTTTTTCTATGGATATAACTGTACCTCTGAGGGTAAAAAAAAAAGATGTTTTTTACTAGTAATTTAGGGAAATATTTTTAAACTGTAAATGAATTGAACATCACTGGAAGTTCTGAAAGCTGAAATACTGGTATTTCAGCAAAAGGGTGAGAAGCAATTCATACATATTAATTCACTGACTACTTGATTCTGGGGCTAAGGATTAAATTCAGATCATATTATTAAAAATAAATTTGATCTTTACATGAATATTTGAATCTTACCTTGAACTTGTTCAGAACACCTCTCTTTGGCCTTTTCTCTCATTATTTTAGGGATCAAAATATCTTTTTCGACATGTCTGAGATGCTGGTCTGAAAAAAAAAAGATCTTTCTTTAATAAAGTCTCAAGCAAATCACCAGATTAAAGGAAAAATAAGACTCTGGTTTACTTAAAAGCCTATGCAAATATACTCAAAACTTACAACCTTATGAAATTGTGATTATTTTAGTCACTGAAATTCATCATATTTGCAATGATTTTTTTATATACAACAACAAAAATGTGAGGAATACAAGCAACATGTTTCTTAAAATTTCTGCAAACTATACTATGACATTTTTACTTTATAACATATTCCATGCAGTCTTGTCAAAGTTGGCATCTAAATCATCACTCCCTTATTAATATAATCCACAAAAGAGAATTTTCACTGATACTGAGATCCAAGAATAGATGAAGAGATACAAGATTAAGAGACACACAAGTAGTTTTTTCTACCTAGCAGTAAGAGTAGCCTAAAAAAGAACTAGCAGAAGAAAAGGTGGAACTGCAAGTCCATATGAAAACAAAAGGTATGTGATTTCTGTGCATTTTAAACACAACTTCTACAATTGAACTAAAATGGCAAATTGAACACCTGCTCTAGAGTCCCACCTGCTCCTTAAATGCTAAGAGAGTCCTGAAAAATAAACAAGGGATAAGTGTCTTCAGTGAACCAAAAACGATGAGGAATCTCTGAAAGATAAAAAGGCAGATTAGATCAGACTAAATGAGGTAATCATATTGCTATAGAGTGTCCAGGAAAAAAGCGCATGCCAAAAGTGGGCACTGCTCCATGCTCTGAAGCAGCAAATATGAAAAGCAAGAAAACTTCCCTGGGGGAAACTAAACAGTTATTAATTAAAGTGACTCAATAGGAGCCAAATGGTCACCTCCTCTGCTGCCTTCAGGTCATGGGTGAAAAAGGTATATATAGCTATTTATCCCCAAAAGACCAGACAGTTTCCCATTAAAAGAATACAGGAAAGAAGATTTTAGATTATTGTGAAGTATAATAAATATACTAAGGCAAATACAAAGAGCTGAGTCCTCAGACAGCAATGGACCATGTCTGAAACCCCAGAATCCTAAAAGCTTCAAAAGGGAATAAACACTGCCTACATAAAAGAAAGAGAATCAGATTTACGTTATGGCTCGCTAGCAAGACATGATGCAACAAGACAATGGAGAAATAACTTCCAAGTTCTGAGAGAGAATTATGAAGAATTCTAGAGTCTTTAAACAACCAATTATAAGTGAGGTTAAGAACATTCAGATATATAGGAAGTAAAATGCTTACCACCTTCAAACCCTAGAGAAAAAGAAGTAATCTCCTTGTTACAGTTGATCCTTGAGCAACATGGGTTTGAACTGTGGGGGTCCACTTAACACTCAGATACTGTCCAATCAAATGCAGACTGAAAATACAATATTTTGGAGATGCAAACCTATATGGTACACCAACTTTTCAGGCCGACTTTTCATACACATGGGTTCTGAGGGGCCCATGGTAGAACTTGAGAATGCACAGGTTTTGGTAAATACGGGGCTCCTGAAACCAATCCCCTATGTATACTGGGGAATGACTACTATGTGCAACAACAACCACTAATCAAATTTAATGATGTGGAACAATAAACAATAAACTATCGGTCAGAGGGCCTGATCTGGGAAGACTCAAAGTTCTGGTGGTTCTGGTGTTGGTTTCAACAGCTACAAAAGCTGGGGCTGGAGGATTTACTTCCAAAATTACTTCTTTTTTCATATATGTATCTGACACCTGGCCTGGAATGGCCAAAAGAAGTGCTCAGTTAGGACTGTAAACCAGAACATCTATCAATGGCCTCTGTACCTGGAGCCATGCTACAGCATTCGTTCATGCTGCACTATACTGATTCCAAGTCATTAAGGATAGCCCACACTCAAGTGGAAGGAAATCAGATTCCATTCTTGTTAACAAAACCACATTACAGAAAAGCATGAACGATGGGAGATAATTTTGTAACCTTCTTTGTAAAATAAAGTATCTCACAAGATGTAACAGAGAATATGCTCTGACAGAAAAAAAACTGAACACATGATATACAAATGTAAAATATATAAATCATATTACAAAAACGTATATTTAAATGTTAAAACTGTGAAGTACTTGAACAACATTATCGACTAACTTGACCTAACTAACATTTATAGAATACCTAATAACAGCAGAACATCTACTAAAATAAACCATACTGTGGCTATAAAACAAACCTCAATAAATCTGAAAGAATTCAAGCACTACAAATTATGTTCCCTGACACCAATGTAATTAAATTAGCAACCAATAACAGATCTCTGGATAATCTTCAAATATTTGTAAGCTAAATAACACACTTTTAAATAACCCAAGGATCTAAGAAAATGTCAAAAAGGAAATAAGACAGTATTTTTCTATGAATAAAATAAAAACAATATATCAAAATTTATGTGATCCAGCTAAAACTGTACTTGGCAGGAAATTTGTAGCACTAAAAACCTATCTAGTAAATGAAAAAAGGTCTTATATCAACTTGTTTCTATGTTGAGAAACCAGCAAAAGGGTAAAATAAACACAAAGCAAGCAAAAGAGGAAATGATAAATATCAAAATATAAATCAATGAAATAAAGAATACCACACAAATAAAAGAAAAAAAAATGAAATTAAAGCTGGTTCTTTGAGAGGATCAGATTAACAAAATTTATAAACCACTAGCCAGAGTAAGGTTACAAATTTCAAACATCAGAAATGATAAATATTTTTAAATAATAAGGGAATATTATGAACAAATTTAGGCCAATGAACCTGACAACTAGAATGAAATGAACACATTCCTTTAAAAAAACCACAAAACAACCAAAACTCACTCAAGAAGGCACAGATACCTTGATACCAAAAGCAAGAACGGTATTTACAAAACACATACACATACCCACAAAATCCACAGACCACTATGCCTCATGAACACACATGCAAAAATCCTCAACAAAATATTAACAAATCAAACCCAGCAATACATAAAAAGAAAGATACATAACAACAAAGTTGAATTTATTCCAGGGAGGCAAGGGTGGTTCACCACTAGAAATTCAATCCATGTAATCCAATAGATATATTAACAGACTAAAAAAGGAAAACCATATAATCATATCGATTGATGCCAAAAAATTGGACAAAATTCTACACGCATTCATAAAAAACAAAATCAGTATACTTGGAACAGAAGGGAACTTCTTTAATGAAGGACATCTACAAAAAATCCTCTAGCTTACATCATACTTAATAGTAAAACTCTGAACGCTTTCCCTACAAAAAAAGAAACATGGTATAAAATTACACAGAATTATATACACACACATATGAGTACATGTAAAAACTGGTGAAAACTGAAATGGTCTATAATCTAGTTAACAGTACTGTATCAACTTCAGTTTCCTGGTTTTGATATTATACTACAGATATATAAGTGTCACCACTGGGGAACGCTATGAGATGGACACTTAGTCTATATAGTATTTTTCACAATTTTATGTGAGTCTATAATTATTTCAAAATAAAAAGTTAAAGAAAAAAACGTCTACAAACAATCACAGGAGAAAATCCTCATGATCTAGATGTCATATAACTCTAGAACAACAAAAAAAGTGCATGTAAAAAACTGGTGAAATTTGACTAAGATTAGTACCTGAAGCAACGATATTATACCATTGCCAATTCCCAGTTTCCGTGTTCACATTTCATTATAGGAGCCTGTCCCAACCTTTTCTCATTTTTGCCCTAAAAGGAGCCTTTTTTGACATTTTTTTCCTAATGTACCCGTATGAAATGTTAATATCGCAGATAAAGCATATATGTTTACGTACTGCAGGTGTAACAGTGCTTTATATGTTGAGAGTATTTTTGTCTCCACCAATGTCAATTGTTATCCTTTGAAGGCAGTATCACACCCACTGAGAATATACATACCATGGTTATGTAAGATAGCATCATTAGGGAAAGGGAAGAAGGTAGATACATGGAAACCGCATGATTTTGCAGTTTCCTATTATTATTATATTATTACAAAATAAAGTTATAATAAAAAAGTGAAAAAATGTATAAGGAAGCACAAAGGACACAGAATAGCCAAAACAACACTAAAACAGAAGAACAAATTTAGATGCTATGGAGCAACTACCTGATTACAAGTCATACTATAAAGCCACAGAAATCAAGACAATGTAGTGTTGGCATAATTCAGGTAACCAAAAAGAGCAATGTAACAAAAGAGAACAAAAGAATCCAGAAATATTTCCATGTATATACAACAAATTTATTGACAAATGAACCAAGGCTAGTTTATGAAGAAATAAAAGTATTTTTGACAAATGGTGGCAGAACCATATTAACATGAAAAAAAAAAAAAGTTAAACCCTTTGACTACCTACTTCACAGTAACCACAAAAATTAATTGGCCATGGATCATAAGTCTAATGTAAAAACTAAAACTATTAAACAAAAAAGACCGTTCAATTCCTTGGAGTAGACAGTTTCTTAAAGAGGGCATAAGGCAGTAAAAATAAAGTATACAAATTATCAATTTGACTTCACTAATATGAAATCATTTGTTTATCAAAAGACACAAGAAAATTTTGAAAAGGCATGCTACAGACCAGGAGGAACAACTTACTTCATATATATATATATATATGTAATATAAAAATAAATAAAACAAAGGACTTGAGTCCAGAATATATCAAGAACCCCTACCTATCAATAATAAAAACTCAATAAAAGATGGGCAAAAGGCTTGAACTGACACATCACAAAAGATGATATGCAAATTGTAAATACATATATAAAAAGGTGCTCAAAATCATTAATCATTAAGAGACTGCAAATGAAACCCCTTGTATCATTTTGAATGCAAGAGAATGACTAAAACTAAAAACAATGACAACATCAACACTGGAGAGAATGTGGAGCATCTGTAACTTTTATATCTTGCTGGTGGGACTGTGCAATGATACATTTCTCTGGAAAACTGCTGAGT